AGCGAGCCTCTTGAATATTAGGTCCAAACTGAAGAGCTAGGGTCTTAGTATCCTTAAGGTAGAGTAGAAGTCTGTCGACTGCAGCCATGTGGTCTGGGCCTGGATTGATGAGAAATTCCGATAGTTTCTGTGTCGTACGGGCTATATCAGGTCTCGTTACGACTGCTGCATAGTTTGCTGATCCTACTTTCTGTTGGTAAAGATGGATTTGTTGCTTATCTGCCTGGCCATCAAATTGGGTTAGGTTGTCTGTAACCATTGGCGTTCGGGTGGATCGAATAGAGGCTACTCTGTACGTAGTTGTGATCTTGTCGATATAGGAGTCCTGGCACAGCCATAGGGTTTTCTGGGTGTGGTCCCTCACAATTCTTATGCCTAAGAACCATTGAAGTTCTCCTATTTCTCGAAACTCATACGCACGCTTCCATCAGTCTCGTACGGAACTGTGTTGCCTCCATTTTGTGGCTAGGATGGCTAAGGATGCAAATATCGTCAACATAGAAGAAGATAATAATCTTTGAAGATACAAAGAGGCACTGTGCTTCTGGGACCTGTACGAGGCCTAGAGCCTTGAGTGTCTCTGAGAAGTCTCGAAACCAGAGTAAGGGGGACCTTCGAAGTCCATACAGTGCCCTGTTAAGTTTCCATCATTTTCCTTGCTCCTGGTAGCCATCTGCACACCGTACGTAGACCTCCTCGTCAATAGGGCTGTTTGTGAATGCGTTTATAGCATCTAATTGTTGTGTATCCAAATCAAAGTAGGCTGTGATTGCCATTAAGGCTCGGAAGGTTTTCGAAGCAAGCGTAGCTGCGTACGTCTCATCATGGATAGAATAGCATTGTAGGTCGCCTCTTACAACAAGTCTAGCCTTATATTTAAGAAGGTAGCCATTGTCATTGAATTTGTATGTGAAAACCCACATAAGGGGTATCACAAAGTTCCGTACGGAGCTGTCGTTGACAGATGTGAACGTTCCTTGCTTTCGAAGGTCTCCTATTTCCTTTGCAGCTGCAGCTTGGAATCCTATTCGATGTGGATGAGTTTGGAGTTGATTCCAGAACTTTGGAGCAGCTGGTAGGTCCGTACGGTGTATGCTCTGTCGATTGAACTCCGTTCCTACTAGGAAAGCTTGGTGTAAGCTTAGCTTTGCTTCTGGTATCGCTATTGTAGCTAGGTAGATGTCGTGTCTTCGTACGGTGTCCTCAGGGCGTTCCAGTGTCATTTCAGGCGTTTGAAGTTGTTCCTGTAGCTCTGTAGCTCCGTGGTCCTTCTGAGTAGGCGGCTCTTCTTGAGGAGAGGAGGTGTTTGTTGCCTCTGATTTGTACGGAATTGTTGTCCCGTTCTGAGGCTGTTGTTCCCCCTCAAACTCCTCATCTTCTTGATCTTGAATATCTGGTATTTCAATGACCTGAACTGTCTTTTCGAGCTCTGTTTGGACAAGCTGAGCCTCGTACGAAGGGTCATAAGCCTTTGTCTCATCAAAGGTAATGTCTCTTGTAACTATAACCCTTTTAAGTTGCGGAACCCAAATGCGGAATATGTTTGTAGAGTTATAGCCAACTAGGTAGCCTATTTGGGCGTTCCTCTGTATCCTCTCAAGCTTTGGCTTGTTTAGAATAAGGGCATAGGCTCTACAGCCATAAGCACGAATATGAGAGAGTAATGGCTTAAGTAGCTCTGGCTTTTGGCTCTCTGTAGGTAAGGACTGGAGTAGAAGTCCGTACGGGGTCTCATCGTTTATGACTGACGATGGTGAGCGGTTTATGAGGTACCCTGCTGTTTTGAAAATCTCAGGCCACATTCCTTCTGGTAAGTTGGCTGATTCTTTAAGTGCGCGTGATCGTGTGATTATCGTACGGCCTGACCTCTCTATTCCTCCGTTCGGCTCTGCTGTATAGGGTGGAGAGATGTGGATTTCATATCCTTCATCCTTAATCCAACCCTCCCATTCATTTCCAAGTGAGGCTTCACCATCTAGGTGGAATATACGGATTTGGAACCCCCATCTTCTCCGTACGTAGCTCACAAAGTCCTTAATCATCTGTAGGAGCGTTCCTTGTGTTTTATCCTTTATAGTATAGACGTGGTTCATGCGGCAATTATCACATAGGAAGTGTAAGGCTTGTGTGCTGCCATCGTATGCCTCTGGCATTTGGATTAGGTCAAGGTGGACCTTCTCATATGGCACTTTTGAGCGTGGTGTAGATCTTCTAGAAATCTGCCTTGTAGCATGCGTAAGTCAGCATACTTCGCACTGAGTATCGTACGAGTCTAGGTCTGTGACGATAACTCCAGCGGTCTTCTCTTGGAGTTTTCTAATGGCGTTTTGGTTTAGGTGTCCCATGCGGTTATGCCATTCCTTTGCAGTGCCTTTTAGGTCCTTACGAGGTCCGTACGAAGATAGGACAACGTTGTCCTGTTGATCCTGAGTGCTATAAACAGCTCGGGTAGGCATTTTTGATGTATTCAAGAACCCATTGTCCATGAAGCATTGGAGTGTTGCAGAACGGTTGATCTCCATACGTAAGTCCTTGTGCGGCGGTATTCCAATGAACTCCCTTTTGGATGAATCGTCTAAGAGAAGCGACTGAAGTGTGGAAGGATGAAACGAGAGCTGTATCTGTAAGGGTGATAGTCCGTAGAGACTTCTTATCCTCCCCGTTTTGGACTGTAATATCTACAGACCCAAACGCTTCAATCTTCACCCTTTGGTCTCCAGCTAAGAGGTAGCTATTATCTTGACATTCTTGGATATTGTAGAACCTCGTACGGTCGTTGCAGACGTGAATTGTAGCTCCAGAGTCGAGAATTATGCTTTTAGAGAGCTCATAGGCTGAGGTTTTCGGCTTTAGTCCTTGGGAGACTTGGAAGACTGTAGTGAAAGACATAGGTGGATCTGTATTCGTACTTGTACTCCATTCGGTTGTTGAAATTGTTCTGTTCTTCTGCCTTTTGGATAACGTACTGGAATCCTGGTTTGTCACTTATATAGGAAGGTATAGATAGCGTCGTGAGGGTCGATAACCTCTGTTGCCTGTAGCGTATGGCCTTGAGTGTATAGATTCTCCCAGTTTAGGAGCCAGTCTTCAAGGTCCTTGCCTCTTTGCATTTTCGCAGCCTTTTGCCATTCTAGTCTCCATTCTCCGATTCTAGCTCTTTGAGTAGGTGCGAACCGGTCTCGTAGCTTTCTAAGCATATCGTACGAGTATCGCAATTGTAGGTATAGGGTAGGAAGTCGCGTTTGATGGTTTCTTGGATCTTAGAGCGAAGCCCCTGAATTGCTTCCTCCTGCTTTTCCCACACCTTGCGCTCATATTGGAAATCAGCTTGTAGGTTTCGAAGCTGTTCCTTCTGATCTTCTGTAAGAGATGCGTACGTAATTGACGTTAATTGCTGTTGGCCTTCTACTGAAGGTTGGATGGTCTGGCTACCTGAAGCTCTTGTTGACACTCCAGGTCTTGTTTGAGCAGTAACACCACCACCAGCTTGCATGGCACTCCGTACGAACTCAGGAATAGGTCGAACGGGCTGTAGGAGTGTAGGAGGGTCCTCGATTGATGGATCGATATACCCCCATACTCCTGCCTTCATTGAAGCAGTTTTGATAGTCTCTATCCACTCGTCCCAGTCTCTAGGGCTTGTGAGGACCACCCCCGCCTTCTGTAGGGTCACCATAATGATGGTTTTTTCGACTCCTAGGAGGGGTATTAGGTCCGTACGGGTTTCTATAGGCTTCAAAATGCGTCTTGGAGTTGCTCCGGGCTCATAACTGTTGAGTAATCTGCGTGTTGTTCTGAAATTGCGGGGAAGTGGTGCTGAGATCATGTGACATATTACAACAAAACTGTATACGATAGTGTCACGTGGCGTAGGGAGCTGGGGCGGGACATCACGTCAAGACTGGAGCCTAAATGAACAAAAGTGGACCCTTGATAAATAGCACTAACAGATGACTATCATTGCTTTTAAAGACTAGTGCATATCTGTACCAAAATCGCCCTAGGTTTATGCCCGCCCAGCCTTTACTTTTTAAGCCCTTTTTAAAATGTCGCCGCCCTTCTAGCCCTCCGTTCTATTCCTCCTGATCTTGCGTCCCAAATCCAATTTCGAAGTGCAATGAGGAACAATCCTTTATAACGATATGTTGACAACAATTTGCCCAGAAAATGTTCTTCAGCAAGTGTGCAAGCAAGCAGTTTCGCTGAGCAATTCTTGACAGTGCTCATGTTCTTTCATCCACGGAACCGAAAAAGGTCAACTCATGGGAGGCGAGGCACGTGATATAACTGAGTTGCCAAGACCCATACTAGGTACTCAGCAAGTGAGTAATCCATCCTCATTCAACAATACTCGAGATCACATCTCATCACGGATCAGCACTCACAAAGTCCACATCAGCAGTACCCACCTTCCGAGCATCAAGTCCTTCACATCACAATTAATACAAAATCCCACACTAGCACCCTCCCACACGCGCAACCCGAAAAAGGGGTTAAGGCAAGGCAGTGAGAGAGAGAAATACCAATCTTATTAATCACACGCATCGCATTCGAGCCCATGACGATCATATACCCCGCCTCCCTCTTACTTTCAGACTGCTCCAGGACCAGCGCACGCATTAGCGCCGACTCCACCGCTGCCACCGCGCGGAGATCGGGAAAGGGGCCGTGGGCGAGGGGGCTGAACGCACCGTGACATCGTGGCCGGTCTGTGATAGTGTGATGGCGGCGGAGAGACCCGCTAAGCCGGCGCCGATGATGAGGATGTTGAGGGGATGCCGGTGTTGGGGATGGTGCTGTGGAGGGGGGAGGGATACATCGGTCGCGACAATGATATCTGATTCTCGCCAGCTTTGGTTCGCGATTAATAACCCTTGGCTCATCATTAATATTCTTTTATTCATGATTAATACTGTAATTCTAAATGATGCAAGATAGGGTATATAACAAGAAATAAAACTTGCGCCAAAGAACCAAAACAGACTGCCACCCAGGGGTATCTATACAAAAAGCGTCCCACCTCCTCCCTGCCTCACCTTTCTCTCCCCCATCTCTCCACCACTCTCAGTTCCGCTGCGAGTCCCACTCTCTGGGGACCTATTCGTCGATACGGAATCAAGCACGCATTTTGAACTATCTGCGTCACTCAGCTCCCGATCTGTGACCCGCACTTTCTTAGTAATCCAATACCCACTGTTCGCCGGCACTGCCGGTGGTTTCCCGTTGAAAACCTCGCCTTCTTCCAGTTCCAGGCCTCCGGTCATAGACGAGGGAAATCTTGTGCCCTGGCTCGTAGTAGGTAAGGTGTTCAGACGGAGAGCATCCTTCATGGCACGGATTGCTGGTCTGATAGCTGGCGCGGTCGCACAGAAGAGGCCGATGTTGATTTCGATTGATGACCAGGTTGTGAAGTCATATGAGTCCCCTGGTGAGCATTAATATTGGCGGACCATGGAATGGAAGTAGAGAAAACGTACATGGAAGATCCGTGCTTGTTCTCAATGTACTGATACGGATAAGCCGAACTACGGATGAGATGACGACTAGGGAGCTGAGAGATGTAATCGCAATAAGCCCGGCTTTCTGCAACCTTGGAAGCTTAAGAGGCACTATGTTTCAGCGTGAGTTGGGCAATCCAGTATATTCCAGAGGAGAAGAAAGACCTACGGACGCGTGGTACGGCAAAGAGGACCATCAGGACATCGAGGAAGATGTTAAAGCCTGCGGACATATATACTTGGAGGGTGAGATTTACGCACGTCTGCGGAAACTTGAAGGGGTTCCAAGAATCGTAGAAAGGAGTGCACTCGAAGATTAACAAGAGGAGACAGGGAATTGTGTAGAGCACAACAAAGCTGATCATCCCATATACCATGGATTGACTCCTGGCGTTTGTGAATATTCGGAGGTATAGGGTAAGGATCGCAATTTTGGTCGTGGCAAGAATGCATTGATATAGCAAGCGCGTGGCATAGCTTATCACGAGAACACGAACGGCATTTTGCGGGACTTGAACGGAGAGGTGGCGCCCGATGCCGTAGAATGTTATACTGCAGTTGAGAAGTGTGTGGGCCAAAGATCCAATCTGTTGCGGAGAAATCAGTACGACTCGTGGCAAACCATAGGGCAGAGACACGAACCCATGATATAAAGACCCAAATGTCATCTTGTGCCCACGACCCTTTTAAGATCTGACGCGACCAAAAGCGCGCAACGACGAAAATTGTTGCTACCAAGAAGGGTGTGATGTTTCCAGCAAATATTAAGATGCCGAGCTGTGGTTGCGGATCTATCGCGGCATGGGGAATAAATACGCGCGCACCGACACCGGATCAAGCTGGATGGCCAAAGGTAAGGGAGTTTCAGATGCCTTGAGACATCATGAGGCGGGATCCCGTAAAGAGAATTGGGGACGCGTTGGTGATGGCTGTATGGCACACTTACTAATAATAACATTGATCCATCGTTATTGGCCCTAAGCTACGCGCCACAGAGTGTCATTGCAGCTCTAGCGTATGTGCGCACACAACTTTGTTATAGTGGTGGACTGGTTCAGCTTTGGCATTTGCATTTGCTCGAAAAAGCCTCGAGGTTGTTAACTTGGACCAAGTTCTCACAGTGCACAACTGCCGACACTCACACCGTATATATGCACTATCGGAGAATTATCGGAGAATAGATAGTAAACAGCACTCAATATATATATAAACGCCCTTCAGAGTTTTGAGACGACGCCTATTATGCCCATCATACCCATGATTCATGAGCTGCATTGTGATGAACCAGTTTGTTCACAATCAAGGATCATGACAAGACCTCAACCCCTGTGTGGATCTGTGCCTAATGCAAGCACGGTCTACTACCTGAGCACCCTAGTCCCGATTTAGGCACTAATTTCACGTGATATATACACCAGTCAAGCCTGCCTCCCCAAAGCGCCCAGTCCCTGACCTTGGGTCGGTATACAGCTTTGAAACCTTGTCGAGCAACAGATTTGACACGCCAGGAAGCCTCTTATCTCGTGGTTTTGAGAGTGCTATCTAGAGCAATAGCCCCGGGATTTACTGCCGCCCTTAAGCTCATCCGTATACGCTAGGGGCCAGGGGAAATCACGTTCAATATATCGATCTAATGAGTCCGCCTTCGTAGGTTTTCTCCTCGTCCCACCTCAACCACCCCACCCAGCACGGATCCTCTGTCCAAACCAAGTCGTCCTCAAAGTAACAAAACCTCGAATCCTCCAGAACCAGAACAATGACGAACCAAATCCTCCGTGCCGCCGGCCTCTTCCAAGCCCTCCTCACCACCCCCATCGCCCTCACCCTCGGCTTCCTCGCCTTCGTCCAGCTATGGGATAACTACGAAACCATATACCGCTTCCTGTAAGCTCCTCCCCCGCTCCCGAGCCACCCCCCTCTCTTATATTGCCAGCCCGCGCTAACTCCCCAAAGCACGTACACCGTCAACGGTCTCCTCGCAACTATAATCCTCTTTATCCTCCTCATCCAGAACCGCATGCCAAGCCTGTCCGCCAACATATCGTTCATCCTGGAGGTTGCAAAGTCGCTGCTGGCGACGTTGATGTGGCTGTGGCTTGTGCTGGATAGTGCGTATGCGGAACATGGGAACAAGTACAGAGAGCCATCGAACGATAGGTTTCTCCGCGTTATGAGGGCGTTTATTGCTGGGTTTGCTTTGTTGTAAGTTTATCTTCCCCACAATCACAGAGGCAAAATACTGATGGAATACTCAGGGTCATGTTTTATCCGACTGCGATTTACGCTACATATGTGGCTCGCGAGGGGAGGAAGAACGGCCTGGCCAAGCGGGATGCTGTAGTGGAGGAAGGCGAGCGGACCCCGCTCTTGTCACAGGAAGCCTAGAGGATGGCCATAAGAGACTTATGATCTTGATTTTGGCGGGCGAACCGTTGGAGATCTTTCAGGTATACAGCTCGCTAGGCAAGAATTCATTTCTACTGTGCAGAAGGCTACGTATGAATCCTACTTCAAGTTACGATATATGACTTTGTATATAGAATAGTCGTTAAGATAACTAATAATTTTTAATATCGGGAAAATCAGAGCACGATGGCACGGGTGCGTTTCTACACTAGCTTCCCTATGTCTATCTATTACAATATACTTCTCCCTTGCGTTTTGAGTAAAGAAATCTAGCACCTGCGCAACTATCCAGTTCTTCGTGACAAGACGCTGGAAAAGTAGCTCCATACTCGGATATATCCCTGAGAATTGAGCACCCTATAATATACCTGAACAGCCGGTTGCAGACCCGGGGGGGGGTAAATAATCGTGTACTCAGTAAATGGGGCAAGGCGTGACCTAGAAAGCGCTTCATGCGTACTTGTTCTCACATTAGCAATTAAATACGCAATCTAAGTGCTCAGCCTCACATTCATCACTGGAGTGACCCTTCCCTTCTTTCTCCCTCCACGTTTTGTTTTGGCCCTCGCCACTCTCACACCCCCCCATCTCAACCACGCCCACTTTTCTCACCTCCCCTTTCTTACCGCCCACCCCCTTCTCGCCACCGCTCCCTTTTCTCACCACCCCTATCCTTTTCAACCTCCCATTTTCCACCTCCTTCTCCGTCCCCTTCTCTGTTCCCTTTGCCGCCTCCTTCTCCGCTGAGATGGAGGCCCCAGAGACAATATCCCCGGTGGGAATAAACTTCAGCTCGCTGATGATAGCTTGGTGTCTCCTCTTATTCTCTCCTTTATCTGCTTATACTTCCTCAGTGCCGCAATGGCGGCGTTGATGTGCAACTCAACATAGTTAACTGTGGTGTACAGCTTAAGTGTAGATGGGCGCAACTGGCTCCAGAGGCATGTCCCCCGGTTGGGATGAACTCCAGATCGGCGGTGGTCACCTTGAACTTTCTCCCATTGATCGCCTTCTCCTCTCTCAGTGCCGTGATGGCAGTGTTTATCATAAAACAACATAATTAGCTGTGGTGTACACCATAATAGTAGGTGGGAGCAGGAAGAAGAGGATGATAATATTGTCGCCGAGGGCGTGGATGCCCACACGCGGGAAGAAAACCCGGCGCGAGGAGGGAATTCCTGACCCACAAGAGCATACCCTACGGAAATATGACATGTCACTAAACTCGATCATACTGTGCTATTATGGTTACGCGATTTCTCACCACCCCCTCCTTTTCTCACGACTCATACTCGATCATACTTTGCTATTATGGTTACGCGATTTCTCACCACCCCCTCCTTTTCTCACCACCCCTTATATTCAATGCCATCTGTCCAGAATTTGTCATTCCCCGTATCTGCTTACCGATCTCTCATTAATACGTAGCATAGCTGGACGGCTACGCCGATGGTTGAGCGCTCCCGGGAGCAATTTCCAGACGAGGTAAAGGCATCGGTTTCCATGGTGCCGATGCCGCGGATGATGAGTGTTCTGGATGAGCTTACGTTTCTGGAGAGACTGATGACGGCTTACAATGTGTCAATCTAAGGGTATAGCAAAGTGGTGGCAGTGGGGTGATGGATGGTTGGAGATACCATGTTGGGAAGCAGTATAAGCGGGGCTTATGCTGCCGCCAACAAGACCAGCCTCTTGAGGAGATATTGATGTTGAGCCTCTTTCCTCTCTTGGTCCGCGGTCTCTTTGGGGGTTGGCTAGATTCTACCTTCACTGTATAGGCGACTTTCTGAGACGGAGGTCAAGATGGAGATTATCACTCACTCCTGTGTCAACATCTGTCTTATCTCCTCCCGCTGACAAAACCACAACCCATCAAGATTAACACCTAACACCTTCCTCCACTCCTCCGTCTTACAATCATGGGCTAGACCACTATGGCTGATACCAGCGATATTGACAGCTACATCAATGCGCCCAAACTCCGTAGCTGTTTGGGCGATAGCGGCTTGGACTTCCCCTACGTTTGTGATGTCAAGAGAGTGCTCTAGGATCTGGATTAAAGGATGTGCTTTTTTTTATGAGCTTGGTGGTGGCTGCTAAGGAGGAAGAGTCGTGGTCCGCTAGGGAGAGGCGCGTGACACCGTATTTGGCAAATGTGAGGGCGGTGGCACGGCCAATGCCTGAGCCGGCGCCGGTTAAGAAGGCAGAGCCTTTGGGATGGGAGGTCACGGTGGTGGAAGTTGATGACTGATTAAACTGAACGGTACAGCGGGCAAGATGAGATGCAAACGGGGTCAAGAAATAGTCTTTTTATTGTGATTTGGAACACGTTATTCTGGATACTGGGAAATAGGAGCAGATTTACAACGTGCCAGTGATATATAAAGTGGAAAGAACGATGGAAGATGCCTGATATATAGAACTGGCAGGAACGGCGGGAGGTGCCTGGTGTATAGAACTAGCATGAACGATGGGTGATGAGCAATGTAGAAAAATGGCAAGAATGACGGGAGGTGTCTGATGTGTAAAATGGCAGGAACGGTGGGAGATGCCCGATGAATAAACTGGCGGGAACGATGATAGATGAAATGATGTATAAAACCGGTAAGAACGATGGGAGATAAGTGATGGATAGAACTGGCAGGAACAACAATGGGAGATGAGTGATTTAGAAAACAGGCAAGAACGACGGAAGATGCCTGATATAAACTGGCAGGAACGATAGGAGGCGTCTAATATATAGAACTGGCAGGAACGATGGGCTTTCTGAGGTATAAAAATGGCAGGAATGAGGGGGGGAAGTGACATGTAGAATTGGCAAGAATGATGGAAGAGAATGACAAAAAGTAACCTTACCGGCGCACCTGTAACATGCTGTGAGATGCTTCAACAAAATCCGTGATAATTCCACATGAGACTGGCCAAGCAGTGGTTGTACTTCTTTTGTCGAGATGGGGTAAGATGATGTATGACGGAGACTTATAAAGTATTTGTAGTAAACTGGGCCGTCGTCAACCCCTCAGCTGGGTCAGAACCGCCACAGAAGTAGATCACAATATGGGAAAGCGTTGATATGATTGTAGCGCTCTTTTCCGATGTCTCAAAACGTCAAATGCAATGGTAATCTAGTGGTAAGAAATTATATTCGTTCGTTCCGAAAAAAGGCGAGGTAATTGTCCCCCCCATTTGATACGCGGGGTCGAGATAACAGGAATCCAGAGACTTGAAGCAGCTGAGGATCGACGGAACTATAGGTACAGTACAAAAAAGTTACGGCGGTTGGTACAGTTGGCACAATTCCTCCTGGTCCTGTCTGTACTAGCGGTGAGGAGTATAAAGACATTGGAAACTTTCTCGTGTTTGCCATCACGGGTATTTTAGCAATAACGAGTACCTCGGCCATCCGCAACCACTTAAGCAGCATGCATTCATGATAAAGAACCTGATCACGGCCTCCCGCAACTCGAAAATCGTGTTACTACAGTAACTGTCGGTGAGTCGGTGAGTCGGTGAGTTGTACTGTACAAAATAGTCGGGGATGGCATCCTATCGGGCAAACTAGTGGGGAGCCATCGTAATATGTACCCCACGCATAGATTAGCAGTACCTCGTGTACTTATTAGGATGATCACGGCCGTGTCTTGGAAATGGGCGGCAACGGCGGACAATTTACGGCCAATGATGCAGTTGACGCCTTGATCTTGTCATGCATGGTGCAATACATTCTGTAACGCATATTAGTCTGCTGCAATGCACGTATTTCATATATTTGATGTTTTATATTTCCAAGTTTCCAAGGAGAATCATTGACGAACGAACGAAAGGAAGTTGGGGACGTTGGGGAGAGAAAGCGGTAAACGAGACACACGACACCCAACACCCAACTAGATCCATCACGTGCATAGCCGAGTTCATGCGCTATCCCCAAAATCACCTAGCGTAGTGCTCGGCTCGGAGCGATCTCAAGGGTCATTGCTGGACCCCATCGCTGTCAACTAAACTTAGCCTAATCAGGTAATTTGCCTAACCCGATAAGGACTCGGGGGCGCCTCCAATGGAGCTGCCCCCCATGCAACGCAATCTGCGAGGAAGAAGCCGACCCCCAAAGAGGACCCAGGTTTGTTTACAAAGCTGGCGTCTCTGCTGTTTTCCTTGCTGTTGCCCTTTTCTCTTCTTCATACTGCTTTTTCACTGCCAAAGAGAGCTGTGATTGTGGATTATGACCAAAGATATTGTTGCAGAAGCTGTCCCCCAGACGGTCACGGATATGGCTACTACTGCTGTGGAACAGGATAAAGAGACAACTCCTGTAGTACCGGAGGCGGCTCCGGAGAAAGTGGAGGCTCCCGTCGAGGAGAAGCCTGCAGTTGAAGCCGCTCCTGTTGAAGAGGTTGCCCCTGTTGAGGCAGCACCTCCAGCTGAGGAGAAGACGGCTCCTGTAGAGGAGGAGAAAACCCCCGCCAAAGAGGAGGCACCAGCACCAAGACCAGAGGCTCCTGTACCAGAAGCACCAAAGGAAGTAGCGCCGGAGGTCACACCGGCTGAGCCCACTCCAGCTAAAGATGCAGCTCCGGTGAAAGACGCTGCTCCAGTCAAGGAGGATACCCCAGTCACAGAAGCAGCACCTGCAGAGGACGCCAAAGCACCAACCGAAGATGGGGCCAAGGAAGTGGCACCTATCGACAAAGAGGCAACTCCAGCACCAGACGCTAAGGATGGAGCCGCAAAGGAAGCACCTGCACCTGCTGTTGAGGCAACAGTCGTACAAACTGTAAGCTTATTACATCCATCTAAACCAATACGGCGTTTACTAATACATTAAAATAGACTGGCGGATCAGTCGCAGCAGGTGTGGCAGCTGCAGCGACGGAACTGCAGGCGAAGACAGCAGAAGACGCAAAAGAAATCTATAACAACATCGCAAAGGAAGTTGCATCTACAATTACTGACAAGGATGACGAGACCTTGATGGAGAAAATCGCCGATGCTGTGCAACTTGTTACGAAGGAGGTCATAGAAGGCGTCCAGGATGTCGGAGAGGCGATTAAAGAACACCCAGAGATGATTGCTGAGTAAGTTCCACATTCACACCAAACCTTATTCACTGATTTGGAATGGCTAACATGTCACACAGGGGAGCTATCGCTATTGCTGTCGGAGCCGCCACGATGGTCGCACCAGGAATTCTCGTTCCTGCACTCGCGATGGTTGGCAAGATGGCCTCAGATCACGCCATGAGCACCGCTAAGGGTATCGCTATCAAGGCAAGCAGCGATGTGATGAAGGATATCTCGGAGCAGCTGAAGAAGGATGTTGCTGCCAACAAGGAACATGCTGAAGCAAAGGTGGAAGATGTCGTCGTTGCAACACCCCAAGGCGATGTCAAGGTCGACGTCACTGTTGACGCCAGCAAGGGCAAGGATGGTGAAGACATCATCCTAGTCCAAGCAACAGGGACTGAAATTGTGAAGGAGGCACCTGAGGAAGATGCTAAGGAGGTCACCGACAAAGCCGTAACCGAGGAGACCCCCGTTGCTGCTGCCGCCGCCGATGACAAGTCCGTCACTGTGACGGAAGTGCCCAAGGAGTTTCTGGCTGAGGCACACGCCACAAGAGAGAAGGCCGCTGAAGCTGAAGCTAAAACATCTGAGGCTGCACCTGCTACTACCGAAAATGCGGAGACTACGCGCGAGGTAGAGCCAGAGGCTGCACAAGCCGAGCCAGAGGCACCAGCGAGCGAAGCTACCGTCGAAACCGTGGAGCCTGCAGCTGCTGCGGGTAAGAAGGTCAAGAATAAGAAATCAAAGGCGAAGGCCGCAAAAGCAAAGGCAGGCGCTTCAGAGTCAGCAGCAGCGCTGGCTATCCCAGCAATTGCCGCCGCAGGTGCCGTCGCTGTAGGCTCCAAGGACAAGGAGGAGGAGGCTAAGTCGGAGGAAGCATCAAAGGCTGAAGCTGAAGCGACCAAAGACGTCAAGGATGCCGAGACAAACGGTGCCGCTGCCGCAGCTGTCCCAGATGTCGAGGCCAAGGAGACTGAGACTGATGCCGTGGCGGCTTGTCCGGAGGTTGCTGAGATGGCAGTTGTCGACGCCGAGGAGAGGAATGATACCCCAGCTGTTGCCGAGGAGCCTGTGACCGAGACCAGCGAGGTTGAGGCTGAGCCGGAGGTTACTGAGAAGGCAGTTGTCGACGCCGAGGAGAAGAATGATACCCCAGTTATTGCCGAGGAGCCTGTGACCGAGACCAAGGAGGTTGAGGCTGAGCTGGAGGTTACTGAGAAGGCAGTTGTCGACGCCGAGGAGAAGAATGATACCCCAGTTATTGCCGAGGAGCCTGTGACCGAGACCAAGGAGGTTGAGGCTGAGCCGGAGGTTACTGAGAAGGCAGTTGTTGACGCCGAGGAGAAGAATGATACCCCAGTTATTGCCGAGGAGCCTGTGACCGAGACCAAGGAGGTTGAGGCTGAGCCGGAGGTTATTGAGAAGGCAGTTGTCGACGCCGAAGAGAAGAATGATACCCCAGTTATTGCCGAGGAAGCTGCTACCGAGACCAAGGAGGCTGAGGCTGAGCCTGTGGCTGTTGTTGAGGAGAAGAAGGAGGACGCTCCCGCTGCCGTTGCCGAGCCAGAGGTTGAAGCAAAGGAAGTTGTCGCTGAGCCTGTCGGCGCTGTTAAGGAAACAAAGGAATCCGCTCCAGTTGCTGTTTCCCAGCCAGAGGCCGTGGTCAAGGAGGTTGAGCCAGTAGTTGCTGTCGAGAAGGCCAAGGAGGAGGCCCCTGCTGCTGTTGCAGAGGCTGAGACCAAGTCTGAGCCATCGGCTGTTGCCGAGGAGAAGAAAGACGATACCCAAGAAGCCGTTGCTGAGCCTACACCAGAAGCCACCGTAGTAGAGGCAGAGCCAGCCGTCGCTGGCACCGAGGAGGACAAGTCCGCCCCTGTCGCTGCTGCTGAACCCGAAGCCGAGGCTGAGCCAGTAGTTGCAACTGAGGAGGTCAAGGAAGAGGCTCCTGTTGCCGCTGCTGAGCCAGAAGTTGAGGAGAAGGCTGTGGAGGCTGAGCCAGCTGCTGCTGCTACGGGTAACAAGGGCAAGAACAAGAAGTCTAAGGCAAAGGGGAAGGCGGATGTATCGAAGGGTGAAGTCATTGCCGCTGGAGCCGCTGCACTAGGTGTTTCTGCGATTGCCGCTGGAGTCGTGGCAGCCACTTCTTCGAAGGAGAAGGCAGATGATGTTACTCCTGCCGTTGTCGAGGAGAAGGAGGTCGCACCTGCCACTGTCGAGGAGGCGGAGGCTGCACCTGCTGCTGTTGTTGAGGAGAAGGAATCCGCGCCTGCCGTTGTTGAGGAGAAGGAAGCCGCTCCTGCCGCTGTCGAGAAGAAGGAGGCTGCACCTGCCGTTGCGGAGGCAGCAGGGGAGAAGGAAGCCGCCCCCGCCGCTGTCGAGAAGATGGAGGCTGCACCTGCCGTTGCCGAGGCAGCAGAGGAGAAGGAAGCCGCCCCCGCCCCTGTTGAGGAGAAGGTCGCACCTGCTGCTGTCGAAGAGAAGGCGACCGCGCCTGCTCTTGTTGAGGAGAAGGATGCTGCACCCGCCGTTGTCGAAGCGACGGAGGAGAAGGTGGTCGCACCTGCTGCTGTTGAGGAGAAGGAGGCCGCGCCTTCACCTGTCGAGGTGGAGGAGAAGGAGGTCGCACCTGCCGCTGTCGAGGCCTCCGAAACCCCAGACGTGGTAGCGCCAGTAGAGGTTGCCGAGACTGAGGCCCCTGTTGAAGCCGAGGCTGCCCCTGCAAAGGAGGTTGCCGACAAGGAAGTTGCTGCCACCGAGGCACCTGCTGCCGCTGAAGCCACCGAGGTTACTGAATCTGCCGAGACGACCCAGAAGGTTGCCGAAGAGGTAGTGACCGAGAAATCTCCAGTTACCGAAGAGGTCGCTGCATCCGAAGACGCCAAGGTCGCTGCAGAGGTTCCTGCAGCTGTTGAGACAAAGGAGGTCCCTGAAGAGGGCCAGCCAGTCGATGTTGTGGCAGATACCGAAGAGGTTCATACTCCTGCGGAAGTGAAGGAGGTCGTTGAGGAATCTAAGCCAGCCGAGGCTGCCGTTGCTACCGAAGAAGTCTCCGCTCCCACCGAGGAGGTGAAGGAGGCCATTAAGGAAGAGCAGCCAGTTGAAGCTGTAGCACCAGTTGAGGCTGCTGTAGAGGAGGAAGCTGTTGTCGCCAAGGAGCCAGAGGTTGCTGAGGAAGTCGTCGAGGCCAAGGAGGCTGCCCCTGTTGAGGAGACTAAGATCGAGGAGCCAGTAGCAGTCGAGGAAGTCGCCGAGGCCAAGGAGGCTGCCTCTGTTAAGGACGCTAAGGTCGAGGAGCCAGCAGCAGTTGAGGAAGTCGCCGAGACCAAGGTGGAGGAGCCTGCTGCAGTTAAGGAAACTAACGCTGAGGAACCTGCTGCGGTCGAGGAGACCAAGGTAGAGGAACCTGCCACAGTTGAGGAGCCAGCTGTTGTCGAAGAATCCACCAAAGCCAACGAAGAACCAGCCGCAGTTGATGAGACCAAGGTTGAGGAGGCCGCCCCAGTTGAGGAGGCCAAGGTTGAGGAGGTCGCCCCGGTTGAGGAGGCCAAGGTTGAGGAGGTCGCCCCGGTTGAGGAGACCAAGGTTGAGGAGACCAAGATTGAGGAGAAGACCAAGGTTGAGGAGGCCGCCGCAGTTGAGGAGACCAAGGTTGAGGAGGCCGCCCCAGTTGAGGAGACCAAGGTTGAGGAGGCCGCCCCAGTTGAGGAGGCCAAGGTTGAGGAGGTCGCCCCGGTTGAGGAGACCAAGATTGAGGAGATCAAGGTTGAGGAGGTCGCCGCAGTTGAGGAGACCAAGGTTGAGGAGGCCGCCCCAGTTCAGGAGACCAAGGTTGAGGAGGCCGCCCCAGTTGAGGAGGCCAAGGTTGAGGAGGTCGCCCCGGTTGAGGAGACCCAGATTGAGGAGACCAAGGCCGAGGAGGTCGCCCCGGTTGAGGATACCAAGGTTGAGGAGGCCGCCCCAGTTGAGGAAACCAAGGTTGAGGAGGCCGCCCCAGTTGAGGAGGCCAAGGTTGAGGAGGCCGCCCCAGTTGAGGAGACCAAGGTTGAGGAGGCCGCCCCAGTTGAGGAGGCCAAGGTTGAGGAGGTCGCCCCGGTTGAGGAGACCAAGATTGAGGAGACCAAGGCCGAGGAGGTCGCCGCAGTTGAGGAGACCAAGGTTGAGGAGGCCGCCCCAGTTGAGGAGACCAAGATTGAGGAGACCAAGGCCGAGGAGGTCGCCCCGATTGAGGAGACCAAGATTGAGGAGCCTGCCACAGTTGAGGAGCCAGCTGTTGTCGAAGAATCCACCAAAGCCAACGAAGAACCAGCCGCAGTTGATGAGACCAAGGTTGAGGAGGCCGCCCCAGTTGAGGAGGCCAAGGTTGAGGAGGTCGCCCCGGTTGAGGAGGCCAAGGTTGAGGAGGTCGCCCCGGTTGAGGAGACCAAGGTTGAGGAGACCAAGATTGAGGAGAAGACCAAGGTTGAGGAGGCCGCCGCAGTTGAGGAGACCAAGGTTGAGGAGGCCGCCCCAGTTGAGGAGACCAAGGTTGAGGAGGCCGCCCCAGTTGAGGAGGCCAAGGTTGAGGAGGTCGCCCCGGTTGAGGAGACCAAGATTGAGGAGACCAAGGCCGAGGAGGTCGCCGCAGTTGAGGAGACCAAGGTTGAGGAGGCCTCCCCAGTTGAGGAGATTGAGGAGACCAAGGCCGAGGAGGTCGCCCCGATTGAGGAGACCAAGATTGAGGAGACCAAGGCCGAGGAGGTCGCCCCGGTTGAGGATACCAAGGTTGAGGAGGTTGCCGCAGTTGAGGAGCCTGCCAAGGTAGAGGAGCCTGCTGCTGTTGCAGAGACTGCCGTTAAGGCACCCGCTGTAGTGGAGGAGACCAAGGTCGAAGAGCTGGTTGCAACCGCGGAGCCAGTCGCTACTGAGGAGCCAGCTGTCGCTGGGAAGTCCGCAGTTGAGGAGACCAAGGTTGAGGAGGTCGCCACAGTCGAGGAACCTGCCGGTGTTGCAGAGACTGCAGTTGAGTCGCCTGCCGCCGCAGTAGAGGAGGATAAGGTTGAGGTACCCGTTGTTGCCGCAGAGCCCGCCGCTACTGAGGAGCCAGCTGTTGCTAAGACGACCGCAGTTGAGGAGCCAAAGGTCAAGGAGGCGGCTGCCGTTAGCGAGGTTGCTGAGGCTAAGGAAGTAGCTCCCGCTAAGGAGGCTACCAAAGTGGAGGAGACTAAGGTTGAGGAACCAGTGGTTGCCAAGCCTGCTGTAGTGGAAGAGCCCAACAAGGTGGAGGAGGCTGCCGCAGTGGAGGAGCCCACTAAGGTGGAGGAGCCTGCTGTAGTTGAAGAGCCTACTAAGGTAGAGGAGCCTGTTGCAGTTCAGGAGCCTGTCGTTGAGGAACCAGCCGCAGTGGAACAGGCCAAAGTGGAGGCCCCAGTTGTTGCTGAGGAAGCAACCAAGGCTGAGGAACCTGCCGCTGCCGAAGAGCCAAAGGTCCAAGAAGAACTTAAGGTTGCAGAACAGCCCAAGGTTGAAGAGGCCGCTCCGGTTGCGCCAGCAGTTGTAGCTGAGGCCGCACCTGTCGAGGCTCCCGCGGCTGTTAACGAAGCTATCTCCAAGCCTGCCACCAAATCCGTCTCCGCTGCCGAACCAGTCACAGCTGCTGAGTCCTCTGAAGCATCCGGCTCATTCAAGACTGCTGAGACTTCCGATGCCGATCAGAATCCTGCAGCCACTGATGCTGCTGCTCCAGTTGCCGACACAGCAGAGGCCAAGGAACCAGTTTCAGCCGCACCATCGACGCCAGCTGAGAAAGCCGCCGATGAACCAACCACACCTACCACATCAAAGTTTAAGAAGGGTCACGTAAAGCGCAAGAGTATTCTTGGTCGCCTCGGTTCTTGGTTCTGGCCCGGAAATAGCTCGAAAGAGGCAACACCTCCGATCGTCGAATCGGCTGCCGCTCGCTCCTGAGAGCCTAGCAGCCAAGACCCCTGTTGCCGCCAAATAGGTGGTGTGCTATGAAGCAACGGCCGAAGTGTGATTATTGTTGAAGGAGATTGATGTTTTGATGCGATTTGTTTTTTATACCCCTTCGCTTGTTTTGTCATGTTATGTTTTTGTGCACATAATGAGTGCATGATAGATGTAGTTTGACGGAAATTTTTAATGATTATCATGTTTGCTCTAGTTTATGCGTTGGCTCTGTTTAGTTAGACGTTAGTTGAATGCCAGAATTTGTCTGTCAGGTATATCATGAGACATGCGCCATGTGAGCATCTCTCAACAAGCTCAGCCCTATCGTTAGTAGCTATCTATGCATCTCCGATTTTCCACACCGATCCATGTTCAAGCAGGATTTGCGCCAAGTATACGGATTGGAAGGATGCTGTATGGATATTAGCCGCTATAGTTTTGGTTGGTGATCGCACGAGCATCTAAAAATACTGTATGGTCGGCCCAACTCGACAACCCATCACGAGTGTTGGTGACATATATGTCCTGCTCCTATGTACAGTACATGTACGTCTGAGGTAATCCGGGCAGCCCCTGGAGGAAGTGGAGGAGGGCTCACCGCCTATCATGCACGACATGTAAAGCGTTGGGGGCAGCCTCGTGATAAATCCGCCATGGTGGATTTCATCCTGGCAAATTCAGCCTTGAACTTCAATTGAAGCCATCGGTGCAGGTGATGCAAATGCGAAAAAAATGTTATAATAAACTCCTTCCTTCTGCCTCATTATTGTGTTGCTCTCTGGCGTACAAGCGACAGATCATTTATTGATGCAAAATGCCTTTCAAATCCGTGCACCCTTACCTTGCGATCCCTCAAACTAATTTGGTAGACTACCTCTTCCCGCCCGGTTTGGAACCAAGCAATGAGCCGCTCTGGATAGATTCACAGGACCCAAGCAACTATTTATCAGAGGCCCAGGTTTTAAAATGGAGCAAGAGCTTCAGCAGGGGCCTCAACAATGCAGGTTTGCGCCAGGACGAGGTTGTTATGCTCTTTACACCAAACCACATATTTGTGCCTGTAGCATACCTCGGAATCGTTGGTGGAGGATACAGATTCAGTGCAGCAAATCCAGCATTTACTTTGCGAGGTCAGTATCTTGCCAACTCACATTCTCGTTTTCTCATGCGCTTCCAGAGCTTGTCTACCAAATCGAGGATGTTCAGCCAAGCGTCATACTTGTGCACCCCAACTTTGTACCATTAGCAGTCGAGGCTGTCGCCAAAATCGGCTTATCAAATTCAAAAATCTTCCAACTCTCAGATGTTGAGTGCACGCCCGTTCTCGGTGTCCTAGATTGGCGCCTTCTCCTCAAGGAATATGGCGCTGACAACTACGCTTGGCCAAGCTTCACACCAGAAGAATCTCTGAGGACAATTGCATCGATCAATTATTCATCTGGAACGACAGGTCATCCAAAGGGTGTAATGGTAAGCCACGCCAATATCATTGCCAACGCCGCTCAAAATATATTCAACCTCATCCACAATAGACGGCTCCTCTTACCCGATGACCGCTGGCTCGGCTATCTTCCTCTCTACCACGCATATGGACAACTATATTTAATCACCATATCTCTCAAAAGGCGGATACCAGTCTATGTGATGAAGCAGTTTGTATTCGAGGATTTTCTGCACGCCATACAGACGTATCGGATCACGACGTTGCAGCTTGTGCCGCCGATTCTGGTTATGATGTCCAAGCACCCAGTCACAAGCAAATATGATCTCAGCTCATTGACACTGGCACTGTGCGCCGCAGCACCACTGAGTAAGGAGCTACAGAATCATTGTTCGAAGAGATTCGGGTTCAACATTATACAAGGCTATGGGATGACCGAAACAACCTGTGGAGGGATGGGGATGCTAGCTATCGACATCGATAATACTGGCAGCATTGGAAAGCTACTTTCAAACACTGAATGCAAGCTCATCAATGATTATGGACAGGAAGTTTCGTATGGGCAGCCAGGAGAGCTGTACCTAAGGGGGCCACAGATAGCTCTTGGCTACTGGCGCAACGCAGCAGCCACCAACAAAAATATTGATACCGAGGGGTGGTTACGAACGGGGGACATAGCTGTTTGCAATGCTGATGGGAATTTCTGGATTATCGATCGGAAAAAGGTTAGTCTGTTGTCCATAAGATGTATGTGCAACTGACTTATGATGATTATAGGAACTCATCAAAGTGAATGGATTCCAAGTCGCCCCAGCAGAGTTAGAAGCAGTACTTCTGGAGAACGAGCATATCGCAGACGCAGGTGTCGTAGGAATCAAATTGTATCCTCTCTCCTCCTTTATTTTCTCTCCATACTAACATTTCCGCAGTGGCGAAGAAGAGCTACCCCGAGCCTACGTCGCCATCCAAGAAGCTTCAAAAGGAAAAGTAACACCCCAAGATATCGAACACTGGATAAAGTCGCGGGTGGCAAAATACAAATACCTTGTGGGAGGAGTGGTGTTTGTTCAGCAAGTTCCGAAATTGGAGAGTGGCAAGATTCAGAGGCGCGTCTTGCGGGAATGGGCAAAGAAGGATGGCGAGCTGATGCAGCGACGGGTGCAATCTCGATTATAATAGCATAGTTTGAAACAGAGCGAGCGTCTCAATCTCGATTATAATAGCATAATTTGAAACAGAGCGAGCGTCTCCATCATCACCACTTCTTGAATGAGTACTTGACAAAATATTATTTAGTACAGTTCAACCACCACTTCTGCGGTGTATAAATATACACCTTGGCAGTGTGGACTGATCGAGAACACAGTATTGGCTGGACAAGTCTAGGCATAGTACACAATACGTACTTCTATTCATAATTTCTTCGCTACTCGTTTCGCAGGTGAGCTAATACTGTATTTACGTTAATGATACTTAAATGCCTCATACTCTGTGGATTTCGAGCCAACATCCAACAAGGCTCACACAGTTGGTTTATCAATTACCAACCACTTCCACTTCCACCTCTATCTCCTCTTACCCCTCTCGCCCCTATTCCACCTCTTGCCCCACTTGTTGCTCTTGTCGTCCTCGCAATCGCTCTTGCCATCGCTCTAGTCATCGATCTTGTCGCTCTTGCTGCACTTGCCGCTCTTACTCTTCTTCCCCCTCCCCCCCCCCTCCCCCTTCTTCCCCCTCCTCCTCTTCTTCCCCCTCCTCCTCTTCTTCCTCCTCCTCCTCTTCTTCCTCCTTCTTCCCCTTCTCCCCCTTCTCCCCCTTCTCCCCCTTCTCCCCCTTCTCCCCCTTCTTCCCCTTCTCCCCCTTCTCCCCCTTCTCCCCCTTCTCTCCCTTCTCCCCCTTCTCCCCCTTCTCTCCCTTCTCCCGTTTCTCTCCCTTCTCCCTCATTTTCCTCATTCTCCCCTCTAGTCTCTTCTGTCTCTTCTCTCAGTGGTTGCATCGACGCTTCTTCATCAGTCGAAACAGCATCCGAAGTCGGGTTATCTCTCTCTATAAATAATCTGGCAGACGGACTATTCTCATTTATGACGTTTCCAAAGCTGGCCTGTAAAGCGGGGGAGTTATCTAGGTAACCCCTAGGACGTCTCTCGTCTTCTTCGAGTTCTTGTTCCTCAATGGTGATCCCATAAAGATCCTCAATCTCAAACCTCAATATTTGGTTGACGTATTTGATCAGATCGGCACGCTCGGGGTTCCAACCAATCTGGCGCAGGCGACTTCCAATGCACCTAGCGTTTGTTCCCCAGTATGTCGAACCTCCGGCGTATATTGCATCGACCTCGCTGGCGGTCAACTTCTTCATAACAACTGGTTCGTCGACAAAAAGTCGTTCCTGGACCCGTTCGCCTATGTCTTGTGCAAATTCGGCCCAGCACTTGATTATTAGCAGATAATGAAGCCAGCTTGGGGGTCATACGTACAAGTTCTTCTGTTTCAGCAACATAGTACCCTTTAGAATCCCAGTGTCCGTCACCCACACCTACTGGGCCGAGTGCTTTCTCGACTAAGCACAAGTATGCCCTAGCCAGATTGTCAATATCGACGGCACTCCAATAGTTTTTTCCATTTTCCACCTTGAAAGGGCTTTTATGTAGTATGATAGCCCTCATCATTGCTGTCAACTTGCCTCCGCGTTTGCTGATTGGCCCCCTCCCAAAGCCATATACTGCTGACGAGGAAATTATGGCCGTTTTCACAGGCCTCCGGTTCTCTGTATTATGTGCTGCGGCATTCATGATCATTGTTTCCAAACCCCTGGGATGTTTTGACAGTTTTTCCTTGATTCTATCGAAATCGGCAACATCATCGTTCACCCTGTCTTCGTACTCTCCCAGTGCAAGGGCTTGGTCGACCAGCATCGATATGTCAGACGTGTGTATGAGATACCCGCAATCTCTCTCGTCGCTACTTCTTATGCCTTCGATGATTGACGACAAGCCTTCCTCATGCTCCGTAGCCATCTCTATGACACCACACCAATTAGTCTTTGATCGTCAATTCATCAGTTGGTATGTCGGGGGAGAACTCTGGGGAGAAGAGTACACACGTAGAACCATTTTTGCTTTTGAACACTCCTCGATCAAGATGTCCCGGTCATCAAGAGACCCTCTCACTATCCGGACCCTTGGAAACATTGCCGAAGTACTGGTTACATGATTTTCGTTTCGTACAAGAGCAGCTACCTCGAGTTCGGGATGAGACCTGATAAGGTAACGAGCAACGGTACCACCAATATAGCCGGTGATGCCAATTCTATGCTGTATCAGTGGCCTGTAGTGATGTATATTGCTTTGGGGTATCTTGGAGCCCTACATAAAGATCGTAATAGGTTCTCCAGACTCCGATGTGAAACTTGGGGGCAGTCTCTGGGCAAGTATATTACCAGGCATGACTTGAACTTCACTGCCAATGGCTGGGAGATTATCAACAGTATTATCCGTATTATCCGGGGGGCCCATTCTAATGAGTGCGGATGCCATTTTTTCGACTATTTTGTTGTTGTCTCAGTGACTTCTTTTTGAAAGACGAGAAGCTCTCGGCCTATTCATGCGTTATTTCAGTTGTTTGTTTTTTAAAAGGAGAGAAGGCTGTCAGTGATACATCTTTTGACTCTTTCCTCTTGTGGCCCTCTTGTACGCTCTTTCCGAAATTATCACGTACATTACAATGTGGAAAGAGCATTCCGGCTTTAGAAAGATGCTGGGCATGAACATAACCTCAAAAACAAATTTCAGCCAACGTGGTTTATCAGTACGTCGGACATATCAGTACGTCGGACACTTTTACCGAATTTCCTACCCTCTAACTTCACAATGCGTTTTTTCCACCTTTATTATGTCAGTAATTAGCCAGGAAGCAAAAATTATTCTAGCTATCGAGGCTATCCGAACATCGGAAAATCTAAGTCGTCAGAAGGCTGCTAAGCTCTATGAAGTACCTCATTCTACACTCTGCGACAGAATGAACGCCGAACTACTATCTACGAACGCCGGCCTGCAATGACGAAATTAACTATGCTAGAGGAGGAGGTGGCTATTCAGAATATACTTGATATGGATTCAAGAGGTGCACCCAGTATTCTTCATAACATAGTATCTACAATGCCTCAAAATAACGATCCTACTAGGATTGCTCGCCTTAATGAGGCCCAACAGTTCTTCTTAAAACAACCAAGTACATATACAATTGTGGCTTGCAAATAAATTCAATGTCAACCGTGAGACACTCCGACGTCGTATTACGAGTACTACGTCTCCTCAATTACCCCACGGAGGTAGCAATCGAGTCTTATCTCAATCGCAAGAGACTGCGGTCTGTCAATTCATATACGACCAACTTGAGCGCGGGGTCCCTGCCAACCGATCTATGATACTACGGGCAGTTGCAGACTTGCGACCTAATCGTACAATACCATCACAACGGTGGCTACAACGATTTCTAAAAGCACACCCCGAATTTCATACAATTCACACGAAGATGTTAAATACACATCGGAAGCAAGCACAAAAGAAAGAGGTGTTTGAGGAATTCTTTCTCACATATAACGCCCTTATTACAAAACATAACATTAAGCCATATAATTTATGGAATGTTGATGAGACAGGCTATATGATTGGGTGTTATAAGTCTACGGCTGTTATTGTACCAATAGGTGTCAGTGGACTGTTGATAATCCTGAGAATCGGCTCTCTGTTACTGTAATTGAGGCAGTAAATGCAATGGTGCTGCACTTGCAGAAGCTATCATTATCCCTGGCAAACTCCATATGGATTCATGGTACAATGATGACCTTGAGCCAAATGCTCTCATTATTGTAAATGAGAGCGGGTATTCAAACGGCCATGACTCTCATAAAACAGAGCGCTTTCTTACATTAGCAGAAGAGCATAACATTGTTATTTGCTGCCTTCCTGCTCATACAACACATCTATCCGACGGCAATCTCTAACTGTCCGTACAATTAAATCTGGTTGGAGAAATGCAGGACTATATCCATATAATCCTCCACTTGTAATTGACAAGATACAAGAGACTCGGAATCAAACACCTGATTATGAGCCATTTGCTTCATATAATATTATCTCAACACCGAAAACAACTATGCAAAGTGTGCAAGCGGTTGAACATTGGCAGAAGAGAGCAGAGGAAGCTTTCTCATCGCCTTCAAGAGAAGGGTTTCAATCATTTGCACGTGGAACTACAGTTGTTCTACACCGGGCAGAGCTCTATAAGACTGAGCTAGATATTATGACTTTACGTGCAGTAGAGCAGAAGGCAGCAAAGGCAAGGGCACGGAAATCACTACAGAAAGGAGGGCAGTTATATGCATCAGATGCACGGAAAATGCGGGAAGAGAAGGAAGCAAAGTTGCAAGCAAAAGCAGACGCAAGAGCAGCAAGGGAATCGGACCAAGTAGTAAAGCAGCTACAAGCGCAAGCACGTAAAATCGAAATTGAAGAGCGTAAGGTTGAGAGGAAGCGGGTAGGAGAGCGGAAGAAGGAAGGGTTGAAATCAAAAGTGATAATTTGACGGTATAGTAAGGATCAAAGTGATAGTAGTAGCAATAGTGGCAGTAGCGATAGTGATAGTAGTTCTATTGATTTTATGTTTTAATTATATAGTTATATAGTTGCTATATAAGGCGTCTTTTTCTTCGTTTTATGTGTCGCACATCTTGCTGTCGCCACCTACGAGCGAAGCGAGTGGGTGGAACACCGAGTATATTCTTTTGTTAGCGAGTGTATAGAATAGAAGGGGGGCAGTGGTTTGGCGAGGAGGGAGATTAGAATCACCCCAATGTGTTTATACGCTGTTCGCTCCCAAAGGTGTCTAGAACCTCCTGCCACATATATCCATCCTCATAGCGATCGGGACGGTTGGGAAGTATATGAGCAGCACGATCATGGTGATTTCGTAGATGTTGCTAAACATTGGCGCGATGCTGTGTTGGCCTACGCGAACGAGGAATTGCATGACAAGCCATACCACTGGGACTACGAGCTATTCAGACCGTCAGAGCTGCGCCATTGTCCATGATTATGGGCTCCTTACCAGAGGGAGTACATCTGCGGCTCCGTTCCACCAGAAGCGGCTGTATCGAATCTCCGCATAGTGACCAAGTTTATCCACCTCCAACAGCTCCTTCGCCTGGTACAAGAACCGTCTCCCCGTAACCGCAAGTAGGACGGCAACAAAATGGAGCAACGAAGTCCACACACTGCCCGCAGGCTTGCGAACAAGTAGGCGCAATTCAGGCGCCCTCCACGGCTGTGGCTAGCCCTCCCTCATTGCGCTCATCGGGGGACAATCCAGCCTGGCGGTCCTTCCTGTGCAGGAAGCTCTCTTCTTCACCAGGGTCGATAAGGTGGAGTTCGACGAGGTTGTGGATAATATGTGCCTCTTCGATCTCTTCGTCGGTGAGGCGTGGGTTGTGCATGGGTTGCCCAACTAGCTTCTCGTCGACGGCCAGCAGATCGTCACTCGCGTGGCGGACCGCGTCTGCGGTCTTCTGCCAGAAGAACGGCATCGTTGGTGCTGTGGTGAGGTTGGTGATGAGGGCGAAGATAGAGAATGGGAGCGAGGGTGCCTCCGGTCCCAAACGGGATTCATTCCAAAACGCCTATATATGCTCAATATCAACTTACACACACACATCGCCTCAAGTCGCGATATTCCCCGTCTCACACAGCCACTTTATGGCTTAGACAACTGCTCTTTCCTGAAGAACCTCAAAAATCCAAGAGTAATAATAAGCTGGAAAATCAGCCCGATCCAGAACCATGGCTTGCTCAAGCCCGGCAGCGGCCCAACCGAGAAGTCAGGGAATAAATCACCCTGGCCGTCCTTGTTTGGCGATGTAGCCCTCGCTACCATTGTTGCCACGGACCCAAAGATTTGCGCTCCAACAAGCGTGTACGCGATATGCAACCTGTCAAAGTCTGGAGGAGGATCATACCGAAGCCTACTCCCTGGAAGGCGTCAATGACACCGAGCCACAGCCACAGCGAGCGCGAAACAAGTGCGGATGCGAGCGGCGAGCCGGTCCAAGGGAGTAGGATACCGATGTTGGAGGTGGCCCAGAAGATCTGAGCCCAGCGGGGTGCGATGAGGCCGATTGCGAAGAGAGGGAGGATCCAGGAGTGGGCGTGGGAGAGTTTGGCGAAGAGGAGGAGAAAGAGAGCCCACACGATTATGAAAAAGAAGACAGCGAGGAGGGCGATCTGGTAGATCTTCGCCGCATTGCTGCTCCAGAGGTACTGCCAGTTGCGACCTGTGGAGGCAGAAAGGAAGTAATTTTGAATTATGATGACAATAAAAAACCAGATAACGATGTTACGGCGCATGATGGCCTTGTAGAATGAAGGCACATGGCCAGGAGCTTGTCGGTAGTAGGATGGTAGTCCGAAATAGCAGAGTGCGCCGATACCCCAGATGAGGCAAGCAATAGGGATCATGATGCCGGTGAATTTGAGGCTGGTGGTCGTAATCATGCTATCGGAGAGGGCAGCGCCGGTGCCCAAGATGTTGTTTTGGTAGTTACCCCATGCCCAGAGAGCGACGACGTAGATTTGCTGGCTGCCTTGGATGACACAGGCACGGAAAACCCAGGATTTGATAGGAGAACCTAAACGGGTAAGTTAGTTTCCAGTTTTAAAAGGAATCGGCTAATAACTAAACGTACCTCCTTCGTCACCGAAGTTCAGAGCGAAGAAAATTGAACCTGAGGGCGATGCGGCTGCATACAATCCAGTCGCAATATTCTCTAGCCAAGTTTGAGCAATTTTAGAGCTATTGGCGACTGGCACAAGGCCGAGCAAGAAGAACGCAGATCCGTAGAAGATGAAAGGAACAGATAGCACATAGACAGAGGCGGCTTTGCGGAACAAGATCCGCCAAATTACCGAGAAGATGATGTAGATAGCTCCAGTGGCGTAGACAATGCTGGCTGAACTGGTTGTGCCAGATAGCAGGGTAACTTGATACGAGTTCGCAGCCATGATCTGACCGAAGGCAAGCACGAAACTGTAGACGGGCCAGTCGCCAATACGGCGCTGCACCAAGTACATGACACCAGTAGGAGGCTTGTAGTCTTGTCCAAGTAGCCACTCGTCATCATCATCGCCCATGTTGTACGCTTCGTGCTCCCCGTCGTATAGAACAGGGGTGGGGCTTGCGCGGTTCTTCTTGGTCAGGACCGATGATCCGCTGTTCGACCGGTTTCTAGATCTGGATCGAGATCGGGAGCGGGATCCAGAGCGGGAGCGGTCGCTTGAGCGTCCCAGCTTGGAATTTTTGAAATCGCTATACCACTCTCGCTCTGACTTCACGAGGTAGTCTTCAATGCAAAGTGCGTCTTCGGAGTTACCAGCTGAAAGGTCGGCAAGTTTTCCTTCGAACGCCTTGTAGTATTCGCCCTTGCTGTCAGTGAAATCGGGGTCGACCTTCTGAAGAAGGAAGTCCTTTTTGTCTCCCACCACAGTGTTCAAGCTTAGCATAGAGACAGGGCGGGAGCGAGATTGGTAGTGAATGCCCAGGCCATCCCTGGTTCTAGCTTGGTTGCCGAGTAGACCATCTCCCTCGTCTCGCGACGGGCCATCTTCAGCCTCAGTGGGTGTCGGTATATCGCGAGACAACAAAGAAACAGGCTTGGAAGGGTCTGAGATAAGACTGTCACGGTCACGTCCGTCGCGAAGGTCGTTGTCATCGTCGCCGAGGTCGAGAGGACTGCCCCGGCGGTCAAAGTCTGACTGGTTTAAGGTAATTTGTGACGCGCTGGCAGTACTGGGCATGGAATTATCCGGGTTGAAGTAGACAGGGTGCAAAGGAGGGGAGTTTCCGCCCGCTGGCGTCGCGTCCATACTTGCCGATCGAGAGTACATGCCGCTGACCGGTCGAGAATATGTGCCACTGACCGGTCGAGAATATGTGCCACTGTTTCCGCGCGAGCGACGTCCAGGTAATGGCAGGCTCAAGCCGCTCCTAGGGCCACCTCTTTCAACTTCCTTGACGTGGGTATTAATCGCACTTGACTGAAGGTTCTCTAATTGTTTAACCCAAGCGGCGACGGGGAATTGTTGCTTAGCAGATCTAGCTCTCATCTTTCGGCGAGTTTCGAGCTTAGATGTGTTCAGTCTTCAATCTCCCCTCCGAGATCGTGGAAAGATACGTCCAATTCGGAGACGTCTTTAATCTGCTCCACGCCGGAGCCTCGTACATCCGCCTTCACCAGAAGGGCTTTGGCGCCGTCGGTGTCAGTGCCAAATATGGTGCCCGTTCTCACGCTCGTTACCCAATTTTCTGGGGTCTGAAGAAGATTGGTCAACTCCCCAACCCTGATCCTACAGATATTGGTGAGTGGTCTGGCAAACAGGACGATAGCAGTCTGGAAGCATGTAAAGAGGTGCCGCAGCTCCGTGATAATCGTTGATATGATACAAATCAATGGGGAAACGCGTAATTGCAAGTGCAATACACTGTTCCAAGTGGTAATAGACAGCGGATTCGAGGTCGTCCATTCGGGCCGGGTAGGGATCAGTCTTTGTCTGCTTCCTGAAGACCGGAGCATCCAACAGCACGTATGTAATGCTGCGCAGGATGTGGTACTGGACTTCGACCTCATAGGTGGAACCAAGAATAGTCACAGACATCGGCTCAGCACGTTCAGCTTCGGGGTATTCGACACCACCGACACAAGGAACAACCCAAATCAGGTCCTGATGGCCAAGATTCTTTCCCATAAGTTGCGCCATGACACCGAGACCACCGATCTTGATCTTGATAGCCCAATCTTCAATATCGTACTCCATAGTAGCAATAAGGATGGTTCTTCTGTCTGCAGCTGCACCAGCTGCGCCAACTGCGCCAGGCACTGGGGACAGGCGAGAGGCAGCTGCGCTGCCAGGAATCAGTGCCCTTGACTTTTGCTTACCTCTCTTTCCAATAAAAGCAGGGACCAGAGCTCCCATTCCTTTGACCCTGACACCGACCTTGTTAAATTCGACAGAGTAGAATGCACCCATAAATCCCCAAACAGCGAGGAGGCCGGTTAGGACTGGGGCCACTGTGCTAACGACGAAAACGACAATCTGGAACCACATGTTTCCGGTCGGCTTAATAGTATATGCAAGCGTACCGTCATTTACGGACAACCTATATGCAAGATATGGCATTGCCGGTGCATCCTTGAGATCAAACGACGAAAGCCGGAGGGTGGGCGGAGGCGTGCGGTCGAGAATTTGATCGTTGTCAATATCGCCGAATACAGCAGTCTGATCGGGTAATCCATCAGGATTAATGCCCCATTGATTAAGTTGAAGTTGCCCTGGCCACTCAGAGATGAGGTCATATTTCCACCATCCATCCTTGTCCAGACGGAAGGTATTGAAGACACCAGAATCAGCACCAAAGCCATTGAACGAGCCGAGGGCGAACAGGTTTGGGATTCTACGGGGCGGCGAGTCCAGATCTCCGTGTTAGACGTAATCAGAGCTGCCAGAATCCCTGTTATAATACTCAACAATTACATGCTCGCCCTTCCACTTTTGCTTGGCTGTTCCTGTCCAGTTCTTGGGCGGAATATTAACTTCCCCGCCCTGGTACGTGAACCACTGACTATAATTCGTCCAGTCCAAGGTATACCTCCAGTAATCAGCTCCAGCAGCCTTGTGACTAATGAAAAGGGTGCCATTGTCACGTCGCTGTAGCAGACTAGAGCTGTAGTTTGCCGAACGCGGGAATGCAATCGGGTTATCCTGTGCGCCAGTACGGAAAAGGAACTTATCGGTCGACCTAGTTGATTTGGTACCAGTCTCCATTGGAACGTCTTTAACGGTAATAGCGTGTACACCGTGGCCGACACCAGTGAGCGTGGCGCTGAACTTCCAGATGCTCGGGATGTTTCCTGGAACGTCAAGTTCAACCTGACGAGGCACATTGGCGCACTTGACAGAGCGTTTGAGTATAGAAGCAGCCGTAGCGTCTTCTGTTTTGGATGTGATTGTAATTCTTTCGGTCACACTAGTGCAGTTCATTTCGTTCGAGAAGTAGAACGAGATTTCGATACCTTCTTGATGGCCAAGCGGAACAGTCGAATTCAGTCGTGCATCGTGCCCTGGGACAAACCTTGTTATCATAGGGTTGGGTGCAACCCATTTGGCCTTTAGTACATAAGCCCTAAATTCGTAAGGCTTTAGGGAGACTGTCTTCAAGCACCCGCTGGTAAACTTGGGAGGAGGTGGAGTAGTTGTGGCTTTAGACTTTTCCGTCGTTGTGCTAAAAAGCTTGGCTTTCCCGGTTGTAGAAATATTGCGGGATATTGCTGATGAAATCCGTGTCAACCGATGCCGCGTTTTCGAACCATCGCACCTCAACACTCAACCTGCGAGCTTATCAGACCTGGTGACATATTCTTATTCCAGAGGACCATTGGCAAGGTTTTTATCGAGAAAGAAATCAAGTTTATCGAAGTCCAAGGTTCGGGACACAAAAGCCTTCTTACCAGTGCCAGTTTCAGTAGAAGATTTGTCTTCAGCAGTGCTAGCTTTTTTGGCAGTTGGAAGATCGGTGGCTGTGTCCTCGGTCGCAGTTTCGGCCACAGTCTCTGCCGCGGTTTGAGCCGCAGTTTGGGCCACGGTTTCGGCGGCGGTTCCAACAGCATCGACAGGTTCAGCTCGAGCTTCCACTGCTGCGGTAAAATCCAAAGAACCAAATCTAGGCACCACTTTCCCACTCAGAAGGGTAACCTCATCGTATGGGTAGAATAAATTCCTGAGAACCGTTCCTGGCGCGAAAGGGGTCACCAATGCAAGTTGGTCGACAAGGCAGTTGAATGCGTAATTGACAGTCACATTGTCATTGTGGTACAAAAGCCAGACTTTTTGTTCGCCCTGTCCGCCAGCGGTACTAAGGTCCTGGATTTTCGGAAGTCCGCTTCGGAGGGCGCTCCAAATACCAACTTCTCTTGTTTCCTCGCCAATTGGAATTTGCTGGGTCTGGTTTGAAAGAGCCTGGAGCAATAGGCCATCGTTAAGAGCCGGATAATTAAGCCGCATTTGGTGCATTCCTTTGATGATGTTGCGGATCGGGTGCGAGGGATCTCGATGGTCCAATGAAACCTCATCGTCTTCACATCCTTTCTGGGCATTGACACCCCAAAATGAGAATATTGCGAAGAACTCAAGTTGTAACATCCGTGAGCCTGCCACGCCACAGAGGCAGACATAGCTTGTCTACCGAAGAGGTAATTGTCGGCTGTATTATCAAGCAGGTAGAGTCCTTGCTCTTCTCCATAGTACATTAAGGGGATACCGGGCATATGGATAGTGGTGATAAAGCTGCCCAAGAGCTGCTTCTCAACGCCATCTTGGATTGCAGGCTAGCGGAAAACATCTGGAGAGGTAAGTTATGATGCCTCGAGATTCATTGTGATGGCTTACCTTGATTTGCTGTTCCGTACATGTGCCTTGGGTCCAGTTTGTTGGTATTTGGGTTCACCAAGTCGTTACTGAGCAGCAGCACGTTCCACGTCTCCACCCAGTCTGCGGGAACATCATAAAAACTGGCATCAAAGCCTTGCATTCCAAGAAACCTTGTCAGGGATCGATAAACCGAGTAATGAAACGCCGCAGCATCATAAGCCCCATGGTCTTCATCGCGCATGAAAAGAGTCGCGTCTGAGGCATTGTTGAGCTTTACTGCCTCATCCAGAGTGATATTCCCGTATGCCTCTGGAGTACGTCCACGGCCAAGATAAAGACTTCCGAATGTGTTTCCTCCGGAAATTTCTCCAGCAATAAAAAAGTTGTCTTTGCCAACCTCGCGGGCGCATTCTCGGATGCTCAGATTGATTTCTGCGAGCGCGTCAAGCGTGATTTGTATTCCCTTATCGAAGCGATAACCATCGATATCCAGCTTTTGGATCGTCAGGCAAGCGAAGTTCTCCAATTTTTCGCGGACTGAAGGCATCCATTCCCTAAGTCGATCCTGCACCGATTGGTATTTTCCCAGCTATAATCTCAAATTAGCTTCAATCCTCCTACTGTGGATCACAGGGTATTTGCTAACCTGGTTTTGCCAGTCCGGGAAAAAACCGACGCCTGGGATATCTCCCGCCTGGTCAAATTCGGAGTCGTAGCATCCGCCTAGCTGACTCAAGACATCTTGGCCCACCACATGGCCAGTGTCGTCCCAAAATGTTGGGTATGCGCATGTCTCATTGTATTTGTCTTCGGTCTGAGGATGGAAGTCGTGGTATTGTCTGGTCTTGTCGCGGAGTACAACTTTATACTCGGTTGGCTTGAATGGCGCCGAGTCGTTTAAATGGCCCTCGAATCCGTGCAAGTCTCCCATCGTTGACATTGTCGTGTCGACAATTATGTACACTGTTAAATCACCGCCAATTAGCCAACCACAATACGCAATAGAGGGAAACATGGAATGCTTACTGCCTCGTCTGTGGATTTCTTCCACCATCTCTCGGTACTTTGCGATATTGCCATAATGCTGGTCCAATAGTGTGAAGTCCAACGGTGAGTAGGAATCTGCGCCCCAGGGGAAATTTAACCAAGGCGTGCCAGCAATACACAGGCCTTTCACGCCCATGCCTGCGATATAGTCCAAGCTGTCAATCAGGCCCTGGATATCTCCGCCGTGTCGCAACATCGTTTGCATCGAGTCGTGCTCAAAGAGCGTCCCGTTGATATTATCGTTTGATGGGTCGCCATTGACGAATTTGTCCAGGAACAGGGTGTAAAATGGGAACCGCCAGTTCGTCGGCGATGGGTGATATGTGTGCCCAGCCCATTTGTTGTTGACGACACCAAGCGTGGCGTCGTCTTCGTTCAGATTATATCCAACATACTCCGCCTCATACCTAAGCGCATTGCTCCCCAAAGCATACAACCCCCATAACGCAAATCGCAACAGCGAAGCCATGGCTGGCGACGCCTATCCCGCCTCTGCAAGCAGAACTGGGGAAATGAAGAAAGGTATGGTCTATAGTACAAAGCTACAGGAGCTCGCTCGCGAAAGTGGTCAGCGAGTTGGAGAAATCTGCAGGACAAGAAACAAAAGTTAAATCGGGGGCGGAAGGAAGCACATATTTAGCGAATGAGACGTCGTTATTGGCATAAGCAATGGATGAGAATTGGATGGTCAGTTTTAAACTGTGCTGTCATCCTGGCAACACCAATATTAGTGTGATGCGGCGCAAGATATTATCTGAACGCTCTGAACCCATACTAGGGGGCTGTACTGCCTATACACGTGGAAAACTGGCGAGTGGAATTCCCCAGATTCGTCACATTTGCTTGGTACTCAATAGTGCGTACGGCTGAAGATATATTGACGTGTGGGTGCATCCTTCCACATATCCCGGCCAATAAGCGGCATCAATGACCAAGGTGCCCTCAGCCCTGTTTGACCCTTTATCTCGGTTGTGTGTGAAGTGTGGCGCCATGTCTCGATTTCAAAGAGATTCAGCTTCAGATACGTAAGGAAGGAAACTTCTGCCATCCCTCATCATCTTTGTCTGAGCGAGGTGTGGCGTTTTCAGGAGAGACACAGCCTGGCAACATCCGCGCAGAGTCGGCCTGAAAATAGTATGTGCGCATAGCCTTGCGAGTGCCAAGGATATACTCACGTAGCCGCGATATGGGCGGTATGGGCGGTATGGGCGGTATGGCAAAAGATATGGGCTGATGCTCCGATTGAACGCCTAAATCGTGACTCCAACGCTTCCAACCCATATTGAGGTCTTTTCCGGAATCTCACTGCCCCCATACTACGTACTGTGCCGTCATAGTTAGAGTAGCTTCTGGCCGGTTGGCCAAGGCTGAGATAAGCCGCATCCCAGGCGGTTATGTTAGATCCTATAAAAGTGATGGGCACACCGTGCGCCAGCCCGCCCACTTGGGTAACATTTTGGCGACATCCAAGAGCGGGGTAGCTCCAGTTAAGCACAAGCCAGACCCGCCATTCAGGGTCTACTGCTCACCCATCAGCCACACTCCGAGTCTAGCGCGAGGCGCGAAGTCTTGGTAGTGCCAGAATTGCCGTGGCGCAAATTACGCGCTCCTTAGGCTCCTATCATCAACCCCCGAGTTGACAAATTTCCTTTTTCCGTCGAAGGATTGGACCCCCTGTACGCGTCTGGGTCCATCAAAAATAAGGATTTATCGGACGGTCATCGTGATCTCAGCCTCCGGCGCCCACACCATCTTCAATTGTGGAAGGAACGATGATACCCCAGACCGCTTAGTCAATTCTCGTATATTATGATAACAAGATAATGATAGAATAAACATGGCTGATGGTCTCAAATGAAGACCTTTCTGGATTAATAAAATGAATTAATAGATAGACTCTATAATTTCATGTCTTTTCAGCACTTTACTTCTTTATAGCACTTCTTTTTGGTGAGGTGATAACTTGCAACGGGACCAATATAATTTACATTGCCAAGGCCAATCACGTGACACGACAGATTGTCGTCCGCATTCGGCAACTATCGCGATCCACTTGCAACGACTTCTCTTGCTACACACACGCTCTGTCAACAATATAACGTACAACTGCGAATTGCCTATGCCTCGCATTTGTATGCTCTGCCGATGGCCATCTAAACTACGTAGACGAGCACGGCGCTCGCGGATGTTGACAATGATTATCCTCCTCTCGGTCATATGTATCCTGGTCACCCCCTTATACATCATATATAAGCCGCCGAACACCTTGATACGGTATTTCCAGTACCGCTGGCCAGATGTTCTTTGGCGTGTCCCCACATCATCCAAAATGATCGCGCTTACGATCGATGATACGCCTTCAAAGCACACGGCGGAGATTATGGAGATCCTCAAGGAAAACGACGCGAGAGCAACGTTCTTTGTCATAGGCTCGCAGGTAGAAGGGCGCGAAGAGAAGCTGAGAGATTTGGTGCGCAATGGGAATGAGCTGGGGAACCACGCTATGCACGACGAGCCTTCCCGCGCGCTGAGCAACCAAACGCTAGTCGCCGAGATCAAGGCTGTTGAGGAGATGGTTCTCGAGGCATATACTGCTGCCAGCGTTGAGCCCCCTCCAAAGTATTTCCGGCCTGGCTCTGGATTTTTCAGCGAGCGGATGCGTGAGACCCTGGGAGGGTTGGGTTACAGGCTGGTCCTGGGCAGCATTTATCCTCACGATCCTCAGATTTCATCCTGGCGGCTTAATGCGAGACATATTCTGAGCATGCTACGACCGGGTGGGATTATTATTTGTCATGATAGGCGAAGCTGGACTGCGCCTATGCTCCGAAAGGTGCTTCCCGAAATGCGGCGGAGAGGCTATCAAATTGTCACCGTTACGGAGCTGCTGAAAGCGAGGACTTGACGTCGTTGCAAGTCCCGTCTCCGTGGGCTTAACAGCAGTTCATGTTGCCGCATATGTTCGCAAACATCCGCAGACCTTTCCAATATGGCACATATCTATGCTATTATCCTGTTTGTGTCTATTGACCCTCAAAGTTGGCGATATATATAAAATATTTAATGGAGCCGTCGATGGGGGCCCGACGTTCTACCGTTACCTGGACGTCAGGAACATACGTAATGGGTCATTACAAGACAGAAGAAGGGCATCGACGTATGGGCTATACCGATATGTTTTATGGCAGGATGACTGCAACCGTGGCAACATTGTACAGTACAATAATTATGTATTATGATAACGTGGTTTATCAGTACGTCGCACATATCAGTACCTCGGACACTTTTCCTTAGCATTCAACTTTGAATATAAGGAGCTGGAAGCCTCAGAAGGAGGCCTCCAGCCGATAGTCGCTGTACATACGTAGACCTACTGTCTTGCAATACGATCTCACTTCCTGCCTTCTGACCTGGTTCCCTGGACTCCCGTGAGACCCTGGGCTTACGCGTTACAATTCTATCGGCTCAACCCATATCCAGCCTACCAGTTCAGAATGGCCAGCCAGGAAAGAAGGATCACCCGGGTGATCCCGGGAGGAGCGACGCGACCGTAGAAGCTGTCAAGCCAGACTTGAGGCCTACCACCACAGAAGTCAACAACTCTGCGACAGGCAAGCCCCAGGATATGGCCTCAAAGCTGGCCGACCTTCAGAAAAGAATAGACAAAGAGAGGGCCTATATCAATACTAGGAAGAAGCCTTACAGCTATTCCGACGGTCGCACGGCGAGGACTATAGCTCCTACCCTGAGGAAGTAAGGGCCTTTGCAGAGAAGCAAGCCCAGATCCAAGAAGAAAGTCGTCGGAAAAGGCGACGCCAAGAGATTGAAGAAGAATGGGTAGGACCCCAAACAGAGGATGACCACGAGACTGCCTCCACTGTATCCAGGGAGGTAAGGCCAGCCCATAGGCCAATGGGTAGGGTCAAGGAACCCAAGGTGTACAGGGGCGATGTCATACTGACATTCGTTGCACTCAGTTTGCTATCAAACTCAAGAGCAAACTTAGAAATCTCCTCCTCAAACCTACAAGTCACCATACATATCTTGGCTTATCACACCAACAACAGAAGCAATACTACTCAACGATTGCTGCAAACTCTTCTACTACATCTGTTTATGCTACATACATCACGGCATATCATTTGGACACTCATTGAACAAGTTATTAAGAAAATCTCCTCCTTAAGGGGGTGGGCCAATACTACCACATGGCATATCTCTACCAACTAGAGGCCTAGGAACATGAACGATAGCTCTAGAAGCTTCTACAACCCTCTATGATTCATTACACGTCATCAGTCCTTAGTTACCCACAAGATTGGTTAAGTTATGACATAATTTGTCTATAGGTACTCTGACCTTGGACCTCCTTTTCACTTCCTATAGGCTAGGAACCCAAGAGATGGTTCTATGGGATTCTCTTACGTTCACTACATGATTAGCAAGCTAGTTGTGGGTCGCACTTGATTTCTAATACATTTACCAAGCCTGGTTAGTCATGGAAAGTCATGGAAAATGAGAGAACTACACTCCTTTGGCATAAATAGGATTGCCCTTTCCTTAAGAAAGGGCAAGCAGGCAATACAGTAAATCGACTAGCACATACTTCTACGTCTTTTCCAAGCTTCCAAGCATTGATCTTGTTATTCTCTGTTTTTGAAAAGTCAGTGAGGTGCTAACCCCTGACTTACCCCTGAGTTCTCAGACTCAACATTTGTTGCAACTTGTCTAAACCACTTCACCACATCATACACCTGATTGCTGCGTTGTGGAATAGTCTAAGCTACAACCCTTTGGCTCTGTTTCCTAAGACAGTGTGTTGTCTTAGTAAAATCATCCCTTCCTTGGGTGGCTAGATTCTCACATCTGGTGCACCCACCATTACAATATGCAACTTGCCCAATTCGCTCTAGAATTTCAAAAGGTCCCACTTGCTTGTGGTCTAGCTTCTTTGATGGCCTCTGTGTCTTTATATTTCGAGTTGAAAGCCATACTCTGTCTCCCACTTGATAGCGTGGTGCAGGTTTCCTTTTCTTGTTTGCGAAATGTTCCATTTTTGCTTGCGAGAGCGTGATTTCATCCTGCAGAAACTCCCAAACCTTTGCCATGGTCTGAGCTATGTTCTTGTGCTCTTGTTTGGCTTCGTGATATGCTTGCTGCTCTGTATCAAAGCTCATTCTTGGTTCATAGCCCTTGTTCGCAAAAAACGCACTTGTCTTGGTTGCATCTGATGGCAAACTGTTGGCAGCAAACTCCGCCATGCACAAGTATGAAACCCAATTGTCTTGAAGATAGTTCACATGAGCTCGCAAGTAGCGTTCGAGCTCTGCATTGAATCGCTCAGTCTGTCCATCTGTTTCTGGGTGGAAGGCAGTTGAAAGTTTGGCTGAAATTTTCCAAATTTTGCAGAGCAAACTCCAGACTTCTGCAATGAACTGAGGACCTCTGTCTGATATTATCGAGTTTGGTAGACCATGGTGCTTCCATACATGTTGAAGTAAGAGCTGTGCTGTAGCTTCTGCAGTAGTCCCTTCTTGCCCAGCGAAACACAGAATGAAATGTCTTTCTTTCGTCAACCTGCATGCAACAACCAAGATAGCATTGTTCCCTTCACAGAGTGGTAATCCTGTCACGAAATCCATTGATATATCCATCCATGGTCGACTGTCAATAGGGATTGGTTGTAGAAGTCCATTGTAGGAATCTCGAGATGGTTTCGATCTTCGACAACTATGGCAGTTTTTGATATATCGAATAATTGTTTTGTCCATGTTTGGCCAGTAATAGTGCTGTTTCATGACTCGCAGCATCTTTCCAGCTCCTGGATGTCCCATAGAAGGTTGTTCATGAACTTTTCTCAACAAGTCCACCTGAATGGTTTCTGGCACCCAAACTCGATTTTAATATTCTAGCATGCCGTTTTTGAGTTCGCAATAAGCCAATGCAACCTCTTTGCTTGTTCGATCACCATTCTCAAGCTTCTGTAGTGTAGCCTTGCAGAATTTGTCTTCCAGTTGAGACTTTTGGATTTTCTCAAGAATTGTCATTTCTCTGATATGAGTTTCCACTGGAGATAGCTGAGCTGTTTGGCCTTGTTCTTTGAGTTTCTGAATGTCTGGATGTAGCCTCGAAGGTGGTAGCAACACCTGAAGCTGTTGCTTTTGTCGATCATCCTCATCATTGCCTTCTGGTCTCTCACCAGGCCTTCGAGTCAAAGCATCTGCTTTTCCATTTTGCTTCCCAGGCCTATAGATGATCTGGAAGTTGTATGGAGAGAGGAATTCAGCCCATCGAGCTTGTCTCCTTGTCAGCTTCTTGGTGGACATGAAGTATTCCAAGCTTTTGTGATCAGACAAGACTTGGACTGGAAAATCTGTCCCTTCAAGTTCTGGTCTCCATGCTTCGAAACATCTGATGATTGAAAGCAATTCCTTGTCATATATCTCGTAATTGCATTCTGCAGGTGCTAGCTTTTTCGAGAAGTATGCCACTGGATGTAGAACCCCTTGATCATCTTTTTGTGACAAGACTCCTTGATGAGATGAAGTCTGAGGAATCTGCTTCGACATAGGCTGTCTTGTTTCTATCGAAATGCCTCAAGACAGGAGCTTCTGTAACTGTTTGTTTCAACAGCTCGAATGCAGTTTGGCATGCATGAGTCCATTCAAATATCTGATCCTTTCTGGTAAGGTTCACCAATGGCCTCATGATGCTGGAGTAATTTCGGATGAACCTTCGATAGAAATTGCAGAATCCAATGAAAGCTTGCATATCCCTGAGCGATTTTGGAGTTCGCCATTCCAATATAGTAGGAACCTTTGCAGGGTCCATGCGAATGCCATTGACTCCCACTATGAGTCCTAGGAATTTGGTTTCTTGGACGAAAAACTCACATTTTGAGATATCTGCTTGCAGTCCAGCTTCTCGAAGCTTCTGTAGGACTTTCCTTATGTGCTCTGTATGCTCCGCTCGAGTAGCACTGTAGATAAGAATGTCATCCATGTATGCGGTGACGAATTGGTTGAGGTAATCCATGAGGGTTTCATTCATGTACCTCTGGAATGTTGCTGGACCATTTGTGAGTCCGAAGGGCATGACCTTGTATTTGTAGGATCCAAATCGAGTTCTGAATGTAGTGAGGTCTTCATCTTCTTCTGTCTGCATTCGAATTTGATTGAAGGCATGTCGAATGTCCAGTTTGGTGAGATATTTTGCTCCTATGACTTGGGCCAGCGTTTCATCAATGAGTGGTATGGGATATCGATCCTTTTTCGTTATGGCATTTAGCTTCCTGTAGTCAACACAGAATCGAAGACCACCACCTGGCTTTCTCACAAACATAATGGGTGAAGAGTATGGGGCTTTGCTTGCTTCAATGAACCCTTTTGGCAAGTGCTCGAAGACATATTCTTCGACCAAATCAAGTTCTTCCTTTGACATATTCCAGAGTGGTGCATATCCCAGCTTTGCATCATCTTCGAGTTCAATATGATGGTCTGAAGGTCGATGGGGAGGTAGCTTGTCTGCTGCCATTTTTGAAAAAACATCCAAAAATTCATGAAATTCCTTCAGAAGGATCAGTCGAGAGTCAATTTCTTCAGTTTTGGTCTTGTTCTTGTGCTCGATTATGTCCTTCATTGATATAGCAAAGACTTGAGCTCCTCTTTGCTTCATGAGCATTCGAAATGGTGCTGCGCCAATCATTGCTATGGTGCAAGGTTTTGGTTTTTCCACTTTCAGAGCAGGTTCCGGAGGAGGCATTTCTTTGGCTTTCTTCTTTGGCCTTTGTCTTTCGCTTTTAGATATAGGCTCTGTTTCGAGGGCTCGATCTGGTATAGAATGGTTGCAATAATCTCCAGTGAAGAGGACTTGATCATTGATCATATCGAGAACAACTCCATGTTGCTTCATCCAAGCTTTCCCGAGAATGATGGAATGTTTTCCCAGCGAAGTAATGAATAATGGACATAGGCTTTCCACATGCTCTACCACTTGTAGTCGAGGATATATAGCATGTGTGATAGCAGGGGCAGCCTCTCCATTGAATCCTTCAACTTGTTTTGGCTTCACAAGTTCGACTGGGGCTATCCCTTCGATTTCACATATTCTTTCTGCATCAGCAGCATTAATGAAGTTTCCACCTGTGGCACCAGTATCGATCAATGCATGGACAATAGCTTTGTATTTTCCTATTCTACAAGTAGCTAAGAAAGGGGTGTCCGGATCAAAACTGGATCTCGAGGAAGAAGCTGCAATTCTGGCTGCACTGCCTCTAGTGATGACTTGTCTAGAGGCTATTCGTTTTCCGAATCGATGATAGACTCAGCTGTAGATACCTCATTCACTTGAGCTTTGAGCTTCTGGGGACAGTCTCGAGCTCGATGTCCATTTTGTCGGCATATGAAGCATTTCCCAAGTTTCATGAGCATTTCTTTTGCTGGATCTTGATGCGGTGGTTGATACAGCTTCTGCGTCTTGTTTTGCATGTTCGAATCCATTGTAGGTTGAGGGATTGAAGTTCGAAGTGCCTGGCCCTGATTTTGAGTTTGGCCCATGTTGTTCGAAAATGACTTTGGCTTCCTTTTGTCTTCTTGTTCCTTGATCCGCTAAATGTTCTGGTCGATGAGCATGCATTTCTTTGCTAACTCGTGAAGTGTAGTAGCTCCAACTTCAGCCACTAAGGCTTTCTGCATCTGTTGGTTGACTTTGAAGTGCAAGTCATCCAGCAAAGTTTCTTCAGAGTAATCAAGCTCTGTCGTGAGCCTTTGGAACTCAGCCCAGAACACTGCAAAGGTATTGTTTCTCTGATACAGCTTTCGATACTCAGTTTGAGCTGTGTGCCTTCGATCGGGATCACTGAAGACTTTTTCCAAAAGTTTGAGAATTTCTTCTGCTGTCTGCAATTTGTTTGTAGAGTTTGGTCGAAGCCTTGGATTGACATGTCGAACTGCCAGTCCTCCCAGTCGACTCTGAATGTAGCTCATTTGTAAAGTCTGTGTTGGAAAATGATCAATGTTGGCTTCGAGCTTGAGGTGAATTTTTTTGTGG